GCTATAATTCCCAGAAGAGACATCAGACCAAGAAACCCAGTCAATCAATTAAGTGAATCCCATATCCCATAGGATAGGAGCAAACCAGTCAGTGAAGAGAAGCACAGGTTTCCCAGCCCTGGGACACAAGAACACTGCTCCCTGGATCTCCAGAGGGGAAGAGCCCTGTGGTATGGCAGCCTGGGTCCTGCCCAGCAGCCCGTCAGCATATACAACCAGGAGTCTCATGCAATTTCTGCTAACATCTCTCAGTGCAGGCTCATGGCAAATGCCAAAGTACCTTTCAACAGAGACACCCGTTCTAAATACCCATGTGCTGAAACTTGGGTCCTTTGGACTATCCTTAGGGCCAATGTTACTCAAAGAGTCTTTTTACCTTTCTCTTCCCTTTATTTTTAAATACATGTCTCTATTGTGTATACCTTTAGATCACTTTGAATCCTGCATTAGTAGCACTTGGAGTATTTATTAAAATGCAGATTCTAGGGGTGCCTTGGTGGCTCAGTTAGTTAAGCGTCTGCCTTCAGCTCAGGTCATGATCTCAGGGTCCTGGGATCGAGCCCCTCATCAGGTTCTCTGCTCAGTAGGGAGTCTGCTTCTCCCTCTCCCTCTCCCTGCTCATGCTGCTTTCTCTCTCATTCTCTCTCAAATAATTTTTTTAATGCAGATTCTAGGACCTTATGCTAAATTAATGTAGATTCAAAGTCTGTGTGGATAGGAACCATGATTATGCGGTTTCATAAACTCCCAGATGATTTTTATGGACAATGAAGCCTGAAAGCCTCCATTTCAGTTCCTGAGGGCCCTGAAGAAGGCCGCACTATACAGGTGGCCAGAAGGAGCCATAGTGTGTCTTTTTCTTCCTTACCCCAACTCCTACCTCTAGCCATCCAAAGTCTCTAATTCCTGCATAGAAATGAGGCCACTTATATGAAAAGCAGTCAAGCAAGAGTCTCTAGCAGCTCCCCACTGAGAGACAGGAGGATGTTGATAAGATCATTAACATCTTAGAGATGAGTTCTCCAGAGAAGACCTCACTGAGCAAAAAGAGTGCCTGTCTCCTTACTCCCAGTCTAGGCCCCTCTACTCACAGGAGCAGCTAATTCTTTTTTTTTAATCTATTTTTTAAATTTTTATTTATTTATGATAGTCACAGATCGAGAGAGAGGCAGAAACACAGGCAGAGGGAGAAGCAGGCTCCATGCACCAGGAGCCCGATGTGGGATTCGATCCCGGGTCTCCAGGATCGCGCCCTGGACCAAAGGCAGGCGCCAAACCGCTGCGCCACCCAGGGATCCCCAGGAGCAGCTAATTCTTAATGCAAGTTCCCAACACTCTCTTCCCATCTCTGAGCTAAGTCTAAACCCATGTGTACAATTGTGCTGGACAGCTCCAGCCAGAAGCCCCCAGGGTACCTCAAACCCAACAGACCCCAAACTGGGCCTATATCCCTCCACTGTCTTTGAGAGCAGAATGAATCTCCAGACCCCCGTATTCCTTCTGTTCCCTCATTTAGTCTCTCCCAGTGTTTCTTAAATGCCAAGAGGTAAAAGTTTATATTACACAAAATCAGGTAAACAGTTCATTGGAGATTTAAGGGATCTATTAAGGGTAATTTTTACTTAGTTGATTTTTGCTATCATTGAACTTCAGAAACTAAAACACAGGTGATAACTCCTCTGTGCTTATTTCTGTTCGTAGCACTTATCACTTGTGAATGACTTTTCCTCACTGGCTAAATTCTGAATCCAAAGCAAGGGCTCCCCACCGCTGCCTTGAAATAATTGGTTTCTTTTTTTCTTAAGATTTTATTTATCTATTTTTATTTCAGAGAGTGTGTGTGTGTGTGTGTGTGTGTGTGTGTGTGTGTGTGAGTGGGAGGAGGAGGGGCAGAGGAAGAGAGAGAATCTCAAGCAGACTCTGTACTGAACATAGAATCCAACGTGGAGCTCGATCTCATGACACTGAGATCATGACATGAGCCAAAACAAAGAGTCAGATGCTGAACAACTAAGCCACCCATGCACCCCAGAAATAACTGGTTTCTGTTCTTGGCCCTTTTAATTGAGTGTATCTTTTTCTTGTTGATTTCTAAGTGTTTTTTACATATTATAGATATTGATCTGGTAATTGGCATGTATAGTGCTATTTTCTTCTACTCTGTTTATTAATTTTAATGTTGTTTGTACCGTCTTCCTCTATATCAGAGTTTTGTTCTGTTATTGTTGCTAATGTCATCAAACCTGTCCATCTTTTCATTCTTACATCACCAGTATCTGTAATAGTACCTGGCACATAGATAGTTCTCCATAGACGCCTATGGATTGGACAAAACAAATAAGCAAATCTATGCTGATGGGAGACTTCTAAATATCATTAAGGAAATTCTTGTTTGAGGATAGAAGTGTCAGGGGAGGAGGGCTTTGCTAGTATAATACCTAAGCGTTGCTTTGAGATTTTTTTTTCTCCTGACCTCATGGGCAGCTAGTACTTATTTTCTCTTTTCACACAGCCACAGTTTGTAGGAAGACTAGAAAAATGTCCACTGTCTGACACAACTCCAGTCTCTTCTCCTTGTACCACTCGCCCATGGCTCCCCCATTGTAGAGAGCAAAGTGGAGCCTCTCGTATCAAGCTGGAGCCTGTGTCAAGCAGGGGCTTGTGTCAAGCTATGACGCAAGCAGTTAAGGTATTGCAGCTAGGAGATAATGCCAGGACCAACATCAGCTGACACCCCAGAACTGATAACGAGCAGAACCAGAGGAGGTGTGCAGAGACCCCAAAATTGATTATATCCCTTTAAAAAGGGAAGGATTTTGGCAGCAAACTGTCCAACTCTTCAGACGTGACCCCTCTATGTTGACCACTTAAAAAAGGCAACTGCCACCAAAGGCTTTGCCGGATTGATCTCTGAACAGAACTGAGATCCTTCACTGCTTGAACATAAGAAGCAGTAAGTGCCGAGAGCTGACCTGGGCCAGACAGAGGCCTTATCTCAACTGTGTGCCTGTAGACTGACTTCGCATTTGGTTGGTTAACTTCCTGCAACCCTCTGGTATCTTGTTTGTTGTGTGGTTTGTCTTCTTTTTTTTTTAATTTATGATAGAGAGAGAGAGAGAGAGAGAGAGAGAGAGAGAGAGGCAGAGACATAGGCAGAGGGAGAAGCAGGCTCCATGCACCGGGAGCCCGATGTGGGATTCGATCCCGATCTCCAGGATCGTGCCCTGGGCCAAAGGCAGGCGCCAAACCGCTGCGCCACCCAGGGATCCCCTAAAGGTGCTTTTAAAAGTTTTCTTTTAATCCTACAAAAGTGTAATAACACGGTTAGTTTCATCCAGTCATTATTGTGTCCTAAATGAGCAGTTTCTAAGAGTCCCACCTGCTGATCTCAACATCAGCTTTTTTTTATAATAAATTTATTTTTTTATTGGTGTTCAATTTACCGACATACAGAATAACACCCAGTGCTCATCCCGTCAGGTGCCCCCCTCAGTGCCCGTCACCCACTCACCCCCACCCCCGCCCTCCTCCCCTTCCAACATCAGCTTTCAGGAGATGAGGTCCTTCACCAACACACATCGGGGGGAGGGGAGGGGTGCCGAGGACAGAGGACAGCTAGGCTCGGGAGAGACGGCCGCAGACCATCCGGGAGCTCCTCCCGACTGAGAGGTTTCATCCTAAGGAAGGGGCTGGGGTGTTTAGGATGCAGTCTGGGCACGCGCTCTTCCCGGGACCATCCCGGGGTGCGCCCGCAGCGCCCTCCCGCCCTCTCTGGCTGGCGCTCGCGCCTGGGCCCCGCGGACGCCGCGCGGGGAGGGATGGAGGGAGGGCGCTGCGGGCGCGGCCCCTGCAAACCCCGCCTGCCGGGGCCTCGTCCACGTCCAGCCCCACCCCCACCCCACCCCACCTCGCCCGAGCCGTCCACCCGACTTCTTATCCCCGCGGCCGCTCGGCCTCCGCGCGGAGTGCAGGAGGACGCCGGGTACGCGGCCACACGTGCGCTCAAGCCGGCTTGGGATCCCAACCCTCGGCCTCGTCGCCGCCAGCCGGCTCTCCGGCTCCTCCGCGTGGGGGCCTTGTCCTGGGGTTCGGGGCTGCGCGCCCCGCGCCGCGAGCAGGGCATCGCACACCCCGGCCCCGGTGGGCTAAATGCAATCGCTGTTGTGCAAATGAATGAGTGATTGTGTGCACGTTTGCCTCGTGATCTGTTACAGAAAGTGCTATTCGCTGAGCGACTCTCGTGCTAAGGCGCACTTACACACACGTCTGGGTACGGCGGTCACTACTGGCTGCCCGGGAACACGCACCTACTGCCCTGGCACAGTCTCCCTCCTTGATCACGCCAAATCATCCTACCTCTTCGGGAAGCGTTTCCGTATTTTGCACACCCGATGCGGGCACTGTTCCTGGGGATGGGCACGTATGCTCGCATACAGTTGTGCTCCGAAGGGAGAATCGTTTTGTTTTCTGAACGGTCTGCGTCCGCTGAGCGCGCGGGGAAGGGAGTCACAAGCTGGACCCGCGTGGGCGTCGCCGCCTACGGGCTGGGTCATGCTGGCACGTCACTACCCTTCTCCGGGCCTCAGTTTCCCCATCTGTAGCATTCCCGGGGCCGGAATTGCATCCACGTGAGCAAGGATGGATGCACACTGGGTCGCGTAGGGGGCCCGCGCCTCTCACCTCCCTCGGGCGCGCTCAGCGTTCCCAAGTTGGGGGACGCCTCCGGGAGTCCCTCCACGCACAGCTCGAGACGCACAAGGTGACCTCCAGCTAACAGCGGCGGCTCAGGGGATTCCCAGGTTTGCCCCATTAACCTCGCCGGGGCTGCAGCGCGGCGGGCCGCCGCCCTCCCTCGCGCCCTCCTCCCGCACGCCAGCCCCTCTCCCCCCGCACCCCGCCTCCCTCCTCCCGGCCCGCCGCCCGCCCCCCGCGGCGCATGCGCCGCCCGCCGAGCGTGTTTCCATAAAAGTCCAGCGTCAGCCAGAAACTTCACAGTGTGTTGTTGGCTGCGGCAGCAGGTAGCGAAGTGACCCCGACGGCTTGGGTGCTCCGGTAGCCACGGCGGCCGGAGGGCGAGCAGTGACCATGGAAGAGCTCCATGTAAGTCCGGTTTCGGCCTGATTTCCTTACACGCACAAACACGAAAACTTAGGGCGCGACCCCCCTCGGAGCGAGCAGAGGCGAGCGGAGCGTGGGAGGGGCCGGCCCGGGAGAAGGAGCGTGGAGGGGAGTTTCCGTGCGCGTGGCTACCCTGGAGGACCCGGCAGGATTGGAGTCGTTGGCTCTGCAGGGAGAGGAGGACAGATGCGTGTGTCTCCCCTGGAGCCTCAGACCCAAGAACGTCCTGTACAGCCGCGGGCGGCGCCGTCCCGGGACTCAGCCCGAGGATGTCTCCGGGGGGTGGTGAACTACAGGAGCTGGAGCTGGAGGTGGGGGCGGCGCGCGGGGCTGAGTTCCCAGGGCGAGGACCGCGCCCCTTGTTGATCTCAGGCGCAGGCGGGGGTTGGGGGGGCGCCCTTGGGGGGGGCGCGCGGGCCCTAAGCTCTGCACAGCCCGCGGGGCTGCGTCAGGACCCCCCGCCGGCGAGCAGCGGGCGGGAGAGGCGGGCATCTGAGCCTCGGCCCCGCGGGGACGCGGCCGTGGGAAGCGCGGCGAGCGGCCCGGGCCCCGACGGCGGAGCATGAGGGCGCCTCGGCGCAGCAGGACCCGGAGGTGTGCGCGGCGGGGCCCCGCGGGAGGCTGCGAGGGCACCTGGGCTGCGGGAGCTTGCGGCGCACACGGGCAGGTGCAAGTGGGGAGACCGTTTGGCCCTCGCCGATCCCAAATGCGCCGTCGAACCGTCGGTGGTTTCCTGGAGACTTTGGAAAACCCCTTACCAGGAAGGCTTTTCGTTTCCCTGGCGGCGCGCGATTCAAAGGCTGTTCGGGGGAGACGCCCATTCTCTCCCCAACACCCTGTGAGCCTGCCCTTGGCGAGGGGCTGGGCGAGACGCCGGGAGCCGCGGCGCCCGCTGGTGGGCGTGGGCGCAGGGCAGGCGCGGAGGTCGGGGGTTCGCGCCCCCCCAGGCCTCAGGGCGCCCTCCGCCCCGAGGCTTCCAGCTGCAGACCTCCGACCCCATTTACTGGGTCAGTGGCGGGGTGGGAAGCGGCCCGGGAGGGTGAGGAAATGAAACTCGGGGCGAGGACCATGAGCGCAGACCCCGTGACCTTCCCCTCCCAGTAGATCGCCGCGCTCCCCAACGTCCCAGACGCGCCAAGAGGTGGACGGGTCGGGCGGAGAGACCCGCGCCCAGAGGAGCGCAAGCCCCAGGCGCTGTGCGCGTCCGCACCCCCTTCTAACAGCCCCGTTCAGCACCCCGAGCGCCACAGATCCTTCCTTTAAGGCTGGATCCTCCTTCCCCCCTACATGTTGCTTGAAGTACAGATTGGCTTGTGTTTGCATGGACGAGGGGAAGGCAATGTTTTGTGCCTTAGGAGAAAGTTTTGAGGACCCCCCCCTCCATGCTCATTCTTTCCCTTTTCCCTATCCTGGGGAAACCTTCGTATAGAGAATCAATCCCAGCTCCTCGGAACTCAAGCTTCCGTTCCCACTCCTCGCCTGCCCCCCACCCCCACCCCACCTCTCCCACTCCCTAGGGCGCACAGTCTAGGAGTGGTTCCCTTTGTGTTTTGTTTTGGTATTTTCCCTCCCAAGGTTCCCCCCCCAGTGGGTGGGGTAGAAGAGTTAGCAAAGATGTGACTTTCAAACACTCAGAATCTCAGCGCCCTTTTGTTCTAAACAAAGAATTTTGTAATTGGTTCTACTTAAGAAGGATATAACAAGTGACTCTGGGGAAGATGAGCAGGAGGGTTGCAGGAATCTATAACAATTCTCTTGTGCCCATCCACTCACTACTTCATCCGAAGCAGAATGTCCTGAAGAAGCCTGGGCTGACTTGGGTTTTATAAATCACTTTTTAAAAATCGCAGAAACATTTTTTTTTTAATTCGGAGAATGCCAGCTGAACTAGAAAGTTAACATCCCTTCCAGTGGTGAGAGTGGACATCCCTGTCTGGTTCCTGATCTTAGGGGAAAGGCTCCCAGTGCTTCCCCATTGAGAATGATATTTGCTGTGGGCTTTTCATAGATGGCTTTTAAGATGTCGAGGAAAGTTCCCTCTATCCCTACACTCTGAAGAGTTTTGATCAGGAATGGATGCTGTATTTTGTCAAATGCTTTCTCTGCATCTAATGAGAGGATCATATGGTTCTTGGTTTTTCTCTTGCTGATATGATGAATCACATTGATTGTTTTACGAGTGTTGAACCAGCCTTGTGTCCCGGTGATAAATCCTACTTGGTCATGGTGAATAATTTTCTTAATGTGTTGTTGGATCCTATTGGCTAGTATCTTGTTGAGAATTTTTGCATCCATGTTCATCAGGGATATTGGTCTGTAATTCTCCTTTTTGGTGGGGTCTTTGTCTGGTTTTGGAATTAAGGTGATGCTGGCCTCATAGAATGAATTTGGAAGTACCCCATCTCTTCTTGCCTCTTTTGCAGATATACCCTTCAGATAACTACACAGAAGAGGACTTGGGCTCAGGTGACTATGACTCCATGAAGGAACCCTGCTTCCAGGAGGAAAATGCTAACTTCAACCGTATCTTTGTGCCCACAGTCTACTCCATCATCTTCTTGACTGGCATAGTGGGCAATGGATTGGTCATCCTGGTCATGGGTTACCAGAAGAAACCGAGAAGCATGACAGACAAGTATAGACTGCACCTGTCTGTGGCAGACCTCCTCTTTGTCCTCACACTTCCCTTCTGGGCAGTTGAGGCTGTGGCAGACTGGTACTTCGGGAATTTCCTGTGCAAGGCAGTCCATGTCATCTATACTGTCAGCCTCTATAGCAGTGTCTTCATCCTGGCCTTCATCAGTCTGGACCAGTACTTGGCTATTGTCCATGCCACCAACAGTCAGAGGCCAAGGAAGCTGTTGGCGGAAAAGGTGGTCTACGTTGGCGTCTGGATACATGCTCTCCTGTTGACTATTCCTGATTTCACCTTTGCCAATGTCAGGGAGGCAGATGAGAGGTATATCTGTGACCGCTTCTATCCCAATGACTCATGGTTGGTGATGTTCCTGTTTCAGCACATAATGGTCGGCCTTATCCTGCCGGGTATCGTCATCCTGTCCTGCTACTGCATTATCATCTGCAAGCTGTCCCACTCGAAGGGCTACCAGAAGCGCAAGGCTCTCAAGACCACAGTCATCCTCATCCTTGCTTTCTTTGCCTGCTGGCTGCCCTACTACATTGGGATCAGCATCGATTGCTTTATCCTTCTGGAAATCATCAAGCAAGGATGTGAGTTTGAGAAAACTGTGCACAAGTGGATTTCCATCACTGAGGCCCTAGCCTTTTTCCACTGTTGCCTGAACCCCATCCTCTATGCCTTCCGTGGAGCCAAATTTAAAACCTCTGCCCAGCATGCACTCACCTCTGTGAGCAGAGGGTCCAGCCTCTAGATCCTTTCCAAAGGGAAGCGGGGAGGACATTCTTCTGTTTCAACTGAGTCGGAGTCTTCAAGTTTTCACTCCGGCTAACAATGATCTCAAAGACTTGTATACATTAAAGAACTCTTTTTTTTTTGTTACACATTTTTTCAGATATAAAAGAGTGACCGATACTGTACAGTTTTTATTGACTGTTGGATTTTTTCTTGTGTTACTTTAGTTTTTGTGAGGTTTAATTGACTTATTTATATAAATATTTTTTGTTGTTGTTTTTCATGTGGATGAATGTCTGTAGGCAGGACCTATTGCCAAGTTCTTAGTTGCTGTATGTCTGGTTGTAGGACTGTAGAAAAGGGAACTGAACATTCCAGAGTGTGTAGTGAATCACTTAAGCTAGAAATGATCCTCAGCTGTTTGTACATAAATAATCTCTCCATTCCGGTGAAGATTTTCTTTTTCCTGTTCTTAAATGGTTTGGTTACACTATGTGATTTTGCTGTAGAAGGTGGCACTTACAACCAAAGCCTGAAGTAGTATAGAAATGATGGTTTTTCAGTTTTCTCAAGTGGACTGATTTCAGCACCTTCAATGTACAGTCTTGTATTAAGTTGTTAATAAAAGTTCGTGATAAACTTACTCAGTGTTATGTTCTGATTTCTGTTGACATTCCTTTGGCTAACAGAAGTCAAAAATAATAACATATTTATGGCATGTCAGGTCCTATCCTAGCTGTTGTAATATTTTACTTAACCCTTATCACAATTCTATGATAGGAACTCTGACTCAATTATTAATAACAGAGCTACAGTTTGTAGAGCAGGAAACTGAGGCACAGAAAGCCCAAGTGACCAGATTAAAGGCATGGTAAGTAGCATAGCCAGTATTCCAAACCAGGGAATCTTGTCTTCAAAATCTGAAGTCTCAACCACTTTCAACTCCTAGACATTTAGAAACATCCAGCCAGTTCCTATTCCTATGAAAAGTCATCTTTTGAAGGAAAAATGTATGTTAAGGAGAAAAGGGATGCAATACCATGTTTTAAATTTTACTAGGACTGACCCCTTGTATGATCCAGGTCTGTGCTGTGCCAAGCACAGTATGCTTTTTCTCATCTGATTCTTTCCATCTAGATTCCATCATTCCCTTTTCACAGACAAAGGAACAGAGATGCATAGACTTTCCATAACTTGCACTTTCAAGGGGACAAACCAGTTGATTCCATTCATCCTTCCAGACTGTGCTCTTAACCATACCACTATCGTTCCCCAGAACACCTGGTCATAAATCAACTGAACTGTTATTGAAAATAAAGCCAAAAGTGAATGTTTTCTTCATAAAATTAACCATGCCAAAAATACCCTCCTTGCAATATCTTCTATGCAAATCTCAACATTTTATTGCAACACCTAGCACCTCAAGGGTTTAACCAAGCAGATGAAAGTTAAATTGGTGCTTTCAGAGCTCAGAAGAAAGGTCCACTGAACCAAGCTCCTCACTGCTCATATTTTGCACAAGATTTTGGAGTCTTACATAATAACACCCGTAGCTATTTACACTACCATTGTGCAAGCCCTGGGCTCTTGAGTAAATTTCAGCTCTGGTCTCCATTTAAAGATAATTTCTAAACTATATAGCAGCCGTACCTATCTCATTTTGGAACACAAACAGGGCACTCCAGGCATGCACTCAAAGATAATAACCAGGATATAATCAAGGCAATATTTGGTCTACTTTTCATAATTGTTTCTGGCACAGAAAATCTATTTTGGAGGAAAAATTGCAATGTATTATCTTTCTGAGGCAAATCACATTTGTTGAAGGCAAATTATAGATCCTGTGAAGGGAAATAATTACTTAAAATAGAATCCAATTTGGCTGTACATTTCTGCTGCAGTCTATGGATCTGGAATAATTCAGAGTGGTATTCCTATTCCACTTGAGAACACAATTAGATTTTATATAGGAAATTATCTTGAGGTTTCTTGGTTTTCCCTGCGAAGCCTAATTGGATCACCCTTCATTTAAGCATAGTTTTACATGTACCCTTTGGAAGGCTTAGTCTTAAAACCATGACCATTGTAAAAGACTTCACTTGAACTTTCTCTATAAATATTTATCCTTGAGACAATAGAAGAAATCCTTGGAAGGAACTCGCTTTCTTTCTCATCTTGGCTTGAAACCTAGTCACCCCAGATTCCTCTCCTTTACCCTGGAGTCACAACAAAAGGAACCAAGCTGAAACAAAATTCCCAGTGTCACCAGTCTTAATGGGTATTTCATTCTCCCTTGGAACAAAGGTGGGATAACTCTTTTTAAAAAAGAAAAAAAGGTTTGTCTCTCCTTGCCCTGAAAGCCCCACCCCCCATCATTCTCTGTCCCCACTGCACCATGTTCCAAGTGGCTCCAAAGCATTCCCTGTGTGGTGGTTTGTTCGACAATGCTGGGAAACCCAGTCTGCTAGCCAGCCCTCACAGGAAGTAGCTGATTGTTCCCTCTCCTCATCCCTTATGAATGGGGCCCTTGAAGGTCAGTAATGTAGATCCAGTTGTATAATGGAAGCTAAAATATTTAAATTGTATGCATGCTGCCACAAATGGCATAAATATGACATCTGAGTTATTAATAACATTAAGCCTGTGACTGGGGAGGAAAGAAGATGTTTTTATCTTGCAAAGCCTTTGTTTTCGTAAAACGCCACTTGGCAATTCACCTCCCCGAACTGGGGGCTTCTCAGTCTCCTTTTGTGGTTATGCCTATGTTAAAATAATAATTCTGGGGGACTCTTTTAATAGGAAACTCTACAGGTTTTATTTTAACAATCTAACAAGCTTGATTTTCTCCAAGCTTATTGTAAGATAGTAAAGGCTCCATAAACAGAATTGAGTTGTCATTATGTCCATGTAATACTCACTGAGGAGGCGGAGGGACCATTGGAGACAAAATTCACATTACCTTAGAAAATAATCTAGGCATCCTCCAGCACTTAAAAATTTGACATTGCAGGGGTCCCTGGGTGGCGCAGCAGTTTAGCGCCTGCCTTTGACCCAGGGAATGATCCTGGAGTCCGGGGATTGAGTCCCACGTCAGGCTCCCTGCATGGAGCCTGCTTCTCCCTCTGCCTATGTCTCTGCCTCTCTCTCTCTCTCTGTGACTGTCATAAATAAATAAAAAATTAAAAAAAATTGACATTGCAGCCTGGCATCGTAGGGATGTACCCAGCCCACTTTGAGGAGGTCTCCACTTGGCTGTCAATGTGGCTTAGCCAGTCAGTGTTGGAGATCCAAAAGTTAGCCAGAGGAATGACCTTTCCATGAGCACAGCCCAAGAGAAACATTGTTGAAATGAATCCTTTCAAAGCAGCAGCTCTCAACTGGGGCAGGGTAGAACCTGTGGGAGGGGAAGGCAGGGGGAGGAGGTGGTGGCAGGGGTCACTCCCCCAAGAAATATTTGGTAAACTCTGGAAATATTTTGGTGATTATACCGGAATGGGTGGGTGGGTGGGTAGGTAAAGTGCTACTGGCATCTAGTGGGTAGGGAGCAGGGATGCTGCTAAACATTCTACAATTATCCAGCCCAAAGTGCCCAGAATACTCAAATTGAGAATGTTTTTTCAAGATGAGGACCACAGGATGATAATAATTATGAAAATAAGGATATATCCAAACAATATAATCCCATGAAATTATCAATGGACAAAGTTCCAAGGTCTCCCTTCAGCACCTCTATCTGGTCTCACTTCAATGCATTCTCATTCCCCCTTACTCAACACACCATTCTCTTCCACCTTTACTTCTTCATCATCTTGCTGTAATGAACATGTCTTTCTGTCTTCTTCTCCCATACTATGCTAGGAAGGCACCCCACAAAGGGAAATAAATGGTAAAGGGTGACTGCTGCAGATTCTCTAGCTCCCACCCAATATCTGTCTCCCTAAAGACCACAATGTTTACTCAGCTAATCCTCACCATAGTCTGCGACTCAATTTGGAACACATCCCACTTTGCTCCTTTTATTTAAAAAAATAAACAAGGAATGATGAGGTACCAGGCCATTGCTCCATTGTCTACAAGTGATTTGGATTAATTTAAAGCAATCCCATTAAGTCCAACAATTAAAATCTAAAACCTTCTGAAAATCCTTCTTTCAACTGAAAATGCAAACTGTTTGCAGGCTGAGTTGAGGGATCCACAATGTTAAGAAGTCATACAAGGGGAAAGGATTTTTCAAAATCAAACAAATAGAAGTGCTCAACCAAACCATACCAGGTGCTGGATGTTTATCTGGTAGAGCCAGTCCACGATTAAATAGATTTACATATTACAGTTCAATTAACTAGAACCCAACTCATCAACACTCTTAATTAAAGGGAATTACTTCCTCATATTTGACTCTGTTCAGAAGGAAGGTAATATTTATTGAGAGCTAACTGAACTCCAGGCACACTTATCCATGTGCTCCTCAGAAAAGCCCTACCAGTTAAGTATTACTCTCTCCATTTTCAGGCAAGAACACAAAGAAATTAAACTACAATAATGGGGTTATGTTCTTTCCCCTGTGCATACTATAAATGGCACTGAAGCAGAACCAAACACGTTCTGAGGCACATCCTCAAGTTCTCAATATCTTCAGTTCAAATGACTCTATCTTTTTTAGGTTGACTTCTACGTGATATCAAAAACAGTTATCACTCACCTTGAGGGCTTCCTACATACAAGGTACTTTGATTATTTAATCTTCATGACCACCATATGTAGTAGGTATTATCATTTCACTGTTTTACAGATGGAGAAACTGAGGCAAAATTTATTCAACATCATGTAGGTATGAGGTAAAACCCGGATTTGAACACAGGCAGGCTGACACCAGTGTGTGCCTTCTTAAGCACTACAGTAACTCTTCATTATCTTCTATCGTGTTAGCCAAGGTAATACCATGAGCTCAAAAAGATCCTCTGTGTTCTTCAATCCTCTTCAGGGTTCAGTAATAGACACTTGTATGATTATACTTTGTAAAGCAACAGAGCAGATACTGATTTTTTTAAAGATTTTATTTATTTATTTATTTATTTATTAGTTAGTTAGTTAGTTAGTTAGTTATTTGAGAGAGCGAGATCATGAGCAGGAAGAGAGAGAAGGGTAGGGAGAGAGGAAGAGGAAGAGGGACAAGCAGACTCCCCAATGAGCTGGGGCCCACATGGGGCTCAATCCCAGGACCACAAAACCATGACCTGAACCAAAGTCAGACGCTTAACCAACTGAGCCACGCAGGTGCCCCCAGAGACTGATATTTTAGAAAGAGTTTCACTATTAGTCATTGAAATAAAATAGGGTTAAGTGCCTGGCACATAGTAGGAGCTCAATAAACATTTGTTGAATGAGTGAATGAATGAACACCCATGAATTTCTATTCCTAAGAGCACACCGTGCTCTAAGTATTCTGATTAATGTTGGCATGTGACTTGACCTCCTTCCTTCATTCTTTCAGGCATTCTTTAATTGAACCATTTATTGAACAGTACCCTGGGCCAAGCAGGTATGAAAGTTACTCAGTGTAGAGGAAGATATAATCCTTTGGTGTTCTAGATAAGCTGGAAAGATAGCTAAAGGACTCCCAGACTTTCCA